GTGGTTTAGGAGGTTGGGCGTGGCAAGCAAAATCGTCCAGATCTAGCGTTCGTCCAGATCAGCAACATCCTCCCTGTGTTTGCTGGACCAACCTAATGACCTTAGTCCGTCCCCCCCTCCCAGGCCCCTGTGGGGATATTCAGGGGCGGGGTTCTCTGCAAGGAGTTCCTTTTTCAGAGCTAATTGCAAGTAGTTAGCCTGATTTTTCTCTTTGTCTAACGGTTAACTACCTGGTCCTGCAGGGCTCGGAGCAGGTCTTGTAAAGTTTGTATGAACTGAACTGAGATCCAGCTCTTTGTTGTTCTTCGCCAGCCTCCGGTGCAGCAGCCAAGATGGCGCCCGGTACGGCCCAGACAACCGAGTTACCCTTTCCGGGCCGCAGTTTCACATCCTTTTGCAGGGCGCTTATTCGGTCTGTTAGACTTTGCGAATTACACCGATTTTTCTCGGCCCGTTCTGCCCCTGGCAGAGAGGGGCGAGCCTTCTGTTGCTCTAAAAGGCCACACAACACATCTCTGCCCTCAGGGGCAGCTTCACTGCTATCCATTTCGGAACGGGACGATCGCCTCAGGGAGGCAGCGCGTTTTGCTTCCACAAAACGCACCTCTGAAGTCCCTAAGAGGCACGCACCTCATGCAAACCAAGTTAGATACAGCAATAGGTTGGGGGTGTCGTCTCCGGGAGGCAGGAGGCACGTCTGTTTCAACAAAATCCACCCCTTACGTCCCCGAGAGGCACACACGTAATAGCTTTTTACTTTCATAAAAAAAGAGTCCAGCTGCCACGCTAGGAGACTCGCAGTTCTTTATCACAAAAACCGTGCCAGTTAGGCACACGAAGTAGAGAGGCACTCGAAGCTCCCATTGCCCCGCTGTCGGAGCCCAGTAACGCTTCCTGCTACTACTGGCGACCCCGAGCCCGGGGACCGCGAGTAGCACGGAGCAGCGAGAGCGGCGCCGGGGTCTGTGTCCCTCCGAACTGGGGTCCGAGTTTGTCAGCTGCGGGGTCTGCTGCTCTGTCCGCCCCGGGGTCGGGGTCTGTGTCAGTGACTTCTTGTGTTCCAGTGAAAGCACGTAATTGGCCAGAGGAGGCGCGGAAGTTACACACTGCAGAGCAGCATTAAGGTAACACGTATTGCCCAGGTTCTGCAGTCCAGCTCCAGCGTTCAGTGGCTGTTGGCAATCCATGCAGGTTTTCTCAGGTGGAAAAAGAATTTTACGTGGCGGGGCAATTCCGTCGTTAACAACTGCAAGAAAATCAGATTTCAAAAAATATTTACTGTTTCTGTAACTCGTTTACTGTCATAAAAAAGAATCCAGCTGCCAAGCTGGGAAACTCGGAGTTACTCCAGTTAAGGAAGATCTTAACTGGAAGCCAGTTCGGTACACGAAGTAGAGAGGCACTCGAAGCTCTCATTCCCCGCTGTCGGCGCCCAGCAACGCTTCCTGCCACTACTGGCGACCCCGAGATCGGGGACCGCGAGTTGTACGGAGCGGCGAGAGCGGCCCCGGGGTCTGCGTCTCTCCGCCCAGGGGCCGGAGTTTGTGACCCCCCAGGGGTCTCGCTGTCCTCCCCAGGGGCGTGTGCCCGGTGTTTCACCGCGGTCCGAGGGTCTGCTTCTGCGGGGTCGCGAGATAAGCTCTCAACGTCGGTTAACGTCCAGTCCGAAATGGAACTGTCCGGCCTTCCGTCACCAGCGCTACGCATCAAGCACACACCCGCTCACCCCCTGCTCTGCCTGTCCGAGGGGTTTTGGTCCCTAAGAGCGTTGTGGCACCGCTGATCTCACGGACCGGCGCGGCACGCAGCATGGCCGCTCTCGGGAGCGGCAAGAGCCCAAACACAGCCAAACCAAACCAAACCGAAGCCGACGCGGCAGGCGAGGCCGGAGCAGGGCTCCGAGGGATCCCTCGCTTCACGTCTCCTCGCCCTTCTCACTCCACCTCCCGCTCCGACCCAGCCCCGCTCGCTAATTCCGGCCCGCGGCAACCGGTGTTGCGGGGGCAGGCGCAGCGCCGAGCCGCCTCAGCCCCCTGCCGCCCCGCCCCGGTCCTGCCGGTCCAGGCGCTGGTGGCGGCCGCGGCGGCGGCGGAGCTGGGTCCGTCCGCTCCATTCTGGGGACGTCGCCCAGCTCCGCCGCGCCAGGCAGTTCCACCCCTCCGCTGCCCCGCAGGCAGGAGGGTAGCGGCCGGGTGCCCGACCGGCGCCACAGCGGCCACCAGAGCCGAGCCGAGCCGAGCCGAGCCGAGCCGGCTGCTCCCGCCGGTCTCTTTCCCTTCCTTTTGCCGTGCCGGCTCCGCTCAGCATCTGAACTGTGTGGCCGCTTCCATCAGCCACGGTGCCAGTGCAGTGCAGGCAGAGAAATGCACGGGAAACTTCAGCTCAGCCGGACTGACTTAAAACTGACACTATTCTGACAAAATAAGCTTTACGTTGCTTCACATTTTGAACCGGTTTAAACTGGTACAAAACAGAACCTCTGTCAACTGAGCAGCATTTATAATGCTTTCTAGTGTTTGAAAACTATACATATTTTTAAGATTTAGTACATACCTAGGTAGATATGCTGGCTGGAAAAGCTAAGACTCTTGTAGACCAAATCCTACAAACTAAGACTTTTGGCTTACAATTCCTTTTCTGTATTTCCTTGTAAAATGTTTCTAGCTACAGTTTGAATAGAAAATGTGCTGATTTAGTTAAGAGGTTAAGATCTGATTTTGCAACTGTTCTTGTAAGTAAAAGGCCTCTTTGCCTACCTTTAAGCACACTGATTTAAATTGACAGGTTGAATTTTTCAGAGAGAAAACTCCTCAGCTGCAAAATCGGTTGTTTTTGTAAGGCTGAACACTCATAGCTGTGTTGCTATGAATGTTACTCCATTAACAGCTGGTTTCCCACCCTAAATTAAGGAGGGATTTTGCCCGTTGCCTTCCATGAGCTTCAGTCAAATATAAGGCAAGTGGGGGAACAACTCAGATCTCTTCTCCTCAAGTCGATTCATTAACCAGACAGATTAGTCAGATGAACTGTATTTCACAGAGGTTCCCACTCACTGGTCTCCTGATGCAGGACCAGTGACTATGAAGTGCATCACAGTTTGACAGCATTTAATAATCAAAATTAAAATCACAGTATGAATTTGTCTTTAGCTAGCCGCTTTAGGGAGACAAAACCAGACAACTGAGACTTCAGACAAGTGACGGTATATTAAGAAAATGGAATTAAAACAGATGGATTTTGCCTTGACGGTAAATGTTTCAATAATAAATTCTAAGTTTCGATAGTATCGATAAAGTCCAGTTTGAAGATAAAGAGTCATAGTTTTTTTCGGCAAAGAGTCGTCGGTTTTGATGGTAAAGCCAGGTTTGATGGTAAACAGGTTTGATGGCAAAGAGTCAGTTTTGATGGTAAAGCCAGATTCGATCGTAAGCAGGTTTGGTGGTAAAGCCACGTTCCATGGTAAACAGTCACGTTTGATGGTAAGCAACGAGGCTTGGAGGTAAAGAGTCAGTTTTGATGGCAAAGCCAACGTTCGATGGTAAACAGGTTTGATGGTAAAGAGTCATTCTTGATGGTAAACAGCCAGGTTCGATGGTAAACCATCAGGATTGATGGTAAAGACTCAGTTTTGATGGTAAGAAGTAGTGGGATTTGTTGGTAGGTTTAGTTCAGGTACTGAAGGATTCCATCAGTGAGCTTTGCATCTGAAAGACAGAAGAAAGCAGTGTCACTCCCTGTCATGACATTCAACGTCAAACCCTGTCTCAGTGGTTTGGTTTCTGAACGACAAGTCTCAAGCCTGCACGCAGCTCCGTCTGCTCTGTGACTACAGGATCCGACAGACTCGAGAAGGTGGCTTCCTCACATCCCAACCAACTGCATTTTGGATCTACGCTAAGGTGGGCGAACTGTACACAGTATTAGGACAAAGCTACCTCCTTTCATAGCAAGTGGTAGGCTTAGGTAAATTTAGGTGAGGTTTTGTCTAGACAGCATCGTTGTTTTACCAAGGTGTTCAGATCTGGTTCAAGCTCACCAGATCTTACGTACTAAGCCTTCAGAAGCCTGTAGAAACTTGCTGGAGAGAATTTGTAGGAATGTAGGAAGCAGCTGCTTTAAAGCTGCTCCGTCTCCCATCCCACCTCCATTTTCCTTCAATCACACATTATCACAAGCCCTTTCCATCCTTATTAATTTACTGGGGAGTCCTGGTGAAAAGGCACAACCTAACAATTCCTTCTCAGCTGTTGTCTGTCCCTAGCCTGTTTGAGAGGTTCCAGGCTCTTTAAAAACACACTGCTGCGGTGGCCTTTTTTTGAGAGAGATTCCGTTATCCAGAAATTCCTACTTGGGACCCATTTATTTAGTATTTCTAAAGACGGACGTTCCACAAGAGGAAGTTCCTTAACATCTATGGACTTGAGGAAATACTAAAATTCTGCAGACTTAAAAGACTGCTTTTCACAGCCCTCATATCCCACTTGTGTTGCAAGCAGTGGATCAAAGTGGGGTTCTATCACTGTGTTTATCGGTTAACATCTCTTATGCCTACACAGATAGCGCACTAATCGTAATGCCCCTGACCTGTGTGGTGGGGTGCAAGGCATTTAATTTCTTCCTATAAGACTTTAGATGCAACAAACATTAGCCGTCAGACTGAATGACAGTAAGTCTTGGTTTGTACACAAATCCTTACAGGGGCTAATTGTGGAATATGTGGAATTAAAAATACGTAATTGTTGCAACCTAATCAGGAACAGGCGCAGATGTGGTTCTGTCCTGGGTTCAGCAGGCTGGGCTTAAACCACGACAGGTTCTTCGCTTTGTGCTCCAGATCTAGCATTCTAAAGCTATTCAGCAACATCCCTCCTATGTTTGCTTGACCAACCTAATGACCAACCCGTAGTCAGATTATCCTATATAAATCACTTAGAAACAATGGGAAAAAGGCAGGCATGGGAAACATTCAGAAAAGAGTTAGGAAAAAAATGGCAGATTATGCTGGAATCCCTGCTTACTTGTAATCCTTCTCTTGATATTTTTCTTTGGACTTCATTTTCTTCTTGACCTTCTTTTTTCTTTCTTTGGTCATCTATCTTGCGGCGTTTCTTTCCCACTTCAGCTTCGCTTCCTTCTGCATCGCCGTATTTCCTCTTGCCAAGCCTCAGTTTCTCATTTTCCCAGAAAGAGTTGTCAAATCGTGCATGAGCTGAGGCAGGTGGAGGTGCGTGCCCTTCCCGAGAGTGTTTTTCAGACTGCTGAGGTACTGAACAGTGACGGAAGTTCTCTCTGTGGCTACTCAAGTGATGGGCTCCTTCCTCTCTGGAGTGAGTGTTGTGAGCCCATCTGCTCTTGCAGTGATAATCCCTACGTGATTTGTAGAATTGACTCAATTTGTCAAAGGCTTTATCAAAATGAGAGGACTTCCTCTCTCTACCATCACCTGTTCCATGAACAGAGTAATAATCCTTGTAATATCTGCATTTTTCCCATCTCCGTAATTCATCTTGGTAGTATCTTTCCCTGTTCCAAGTCCTCTCTCCTTTGGAATGGTAATACTTATTCCTGTCTTGTTCCGTTCTTTCTCTGCTTCGGGATTTATAACGAGAGTATTTTCCTGAGCTTTTGCCATTATTTGGACTGTTTCTTTCATGATGGGAAGGTCTGTACTTGCCTTCATTGCAATAATCCTGCTTATGATGATATTGCTTATTTGTTTCCATGCTGCAAGAGCGCCTCCTTTTGTAGGAACGATCATCCGCTTTGCTCCTGCTTTGCTTCCGGTCTTTACTGTCAGAGTATTGTCTCTTCTTTCGGTAGTGCTCTTTGTCAGTTTTTTTGGAGTCCTGTACCTTCTCCTCGTATTTTTGCCTATTATCCTCTTTGCATTTTTTATTATTCAGCCCCTCATTTTGTCTGGGGAATTGACTCTCCAGAACTTTATCCAGCTTTGGAATAGAAGAGTCATTAACAGGTGGTACCTCTACATAGTTATTAGAAATGTCCTTTGTATCTTGGCATTTATCTGTAACACCTAGACATACAATTTTTTTAGGACTACATTCAATGTCAGACTTCACAGAGGAAGCTTGCCATAATTTCTCTTCACTCTCGGGAGACCCTTTCATATACGAAGGATCTCCTTTTGCAAAGAGTACAGGTTCTTTTGGTCTTCCTGGTTTGTCTTTGTCTCTACTTTCTTCAGACTCACAATGCCCAAGGTATTCATCTTCAGTATCCAAGGATATTTTCCTGACCTTGTGCTGACCGCTGATACTGGGATGTACGTTATCAGCATTTGTTATCACACTTTCAGCAACGTCTTCGGTAGCAATGGTTTCAGTGGTTTCAGAGTCTGATACAGTAAAAGGACTCTCAACCTCACAGCCAAGGTCGGAAAGAGGCATCCTGGATTGTTCATAGACAAACACTGTTTCCGTCACTACGGTTTCCATAAGACGATCACCCTCAGACTTCTGAGGTGCAGGGACACTGCACAAAACAAAAACACATTTTTCACTTGAAAAAGTTCCCCTAAAAGATAAATGTTAGGAGCAAAAATCCCTTGAAGTAAAAGATTTGGTGGCTACTGGTAAACTCTGTATGTTTCTAAACTCCCTTACACAGTTTGGAAACTGTAGCTTTCTAAAGGGACTCTGTAAGGCAGTCCCTTTAGAAACCGACTCTTACACATTCAGCAGTGCCCAGAGAAGATGTTTTTCTTCTCTTGAGCTTGCAAGTAGTACATTAAAACCCACACCCAACACATTTGTCTCCCTCTGCTCACTGCTCTGCATCGCATCAGTAGCCAAAACCACTACCTTTGCTCTCCCCAAACTAGAAAAAAGTCAACTCATTCATTTCCCTTCTCTCCACAAAATGGGAGGGCACGAGGTGGGAATTTACATTGGAAAAGAAATCCAATTGTAAAAAAAAGTAAAATTATCCTATGAAGAAACAGAACCATTCTGGGAGGCATCTGCTTTCATTAATATCAGAATAACACATGTTCAGTGCTGATGTCTGCAACCCTACACATACAGTGTGGAATTTGCTGTACTGTGTAAAGCTTTCTATTAAATAGTACTAGTAGATGGGTAAAACAATGATAAACTTGTATGAAATCTTGTTTTCATCAGAGTGTACTCAATTTACCTTGTTTTCTCTGCCAACCTGTTCAGGTGGCTGTAGGCCAGGGATTCTAAGACTATTTCTTGAGGAATCGGTGACTCAGCTACAGGTATCTACAATTAAAACGCAGACGTTAACAGACAAAAAAATACCACCTTCAGAAGAAAACTGTTTTCAAAATTTCCTCATTAGTTATTAAACAAGATCACTTTGCCTTACATGCACCATTGCTATTTCACACATCACCCCTTCCCCCCCAGTATATTTATGAAACTTATGAAGTACTATCTCAGGTGAAATTCTGGCTGTTGCATGATGGTTGTGAAGAAAGCTGCAGTGTGGGAGGGAAAACAATTCATCAGATGCTCTAAAACAACAAGCTACACACCCCCCACCCCCCCCCCCCCCCATCAAAAGAAAACAACATTATCAATTTGGTGCTATTATTTGCTCCCTGCAAATTACCTTAATCATACGAGGAGGAAGCCGTGCTCCCATAAATCCAGCCTGCTTACTATTAGGCCCCCGCTGACCAAGGAATGAATGGGGATAAGAAGTTGCTGGTAAGTAAAAACCACGTTCTCCAACTGTCAAATCGTAGCGCCTTGAGAAAAAAGCAGTGATATCACTTTAGAGTTTTTCTTTCAATCTATTCTTGGATTAAAACCCCATCTGTAATTTTATAAGAACAGATGACGTGACACAGAAGCCACATACAAAAGACTCAACCAAGACTACAAACTAAAAAAACAGACAATGGTCTCCCTACAATGACTATTCTTGTCAGAGCAACATCTCACCCTTATGCCATCTACGGTGTTATTTCTCCTCTTCTAAATTACCCTGCTACGTAGAGCGGATACAGAGCAATGTACACAAGCACACCAGTTTAAGGCCAAGCAATGAAAGACAGTAAACGACAGCGGTAAGTTCAGGTTAGACAGAACTGAATTACAGAAACAGTAAACTTTTCCTAGGACAGAAAGAAAAACACTTGGAAAAAAAGAAAAGTATCAGTAACAGGAAAGTAAATATATTCTGAACAGATTCAGTAGTTGGTATTACCTGATATAAAAAAGTAAATAAGCTTGCTGATTGAGAACCGTTTTGATATCGGAACGCTCCACTATGGCATCATTCATTCGATACCAAAACCCATTGCCGGCCTGCAAACAAAAGACAGTGGCGTCTTCAGACAAAATGCATGATGTCCAAATGACATCACAGGCGGAACACTACAGCACGAAACGTACCAAACAAATCAAACGGAACACATCATTCAACCTTTCTCCATCAAAATGGTGGTTGCCGGTAACATTGATTTTCTTTGTTTATTTTACCCTGTTAGAAATCAAGCTGATACCCACCTTTATGAAGCAGATATAGTGTCCTGCATTGCAGCTGAAACCAGAATGAACAAGAACTGCGTATAAAGAATACATGAGTGGTTCTCCCCTTGACTGGGACATATATGCTCGAAGATCCAAATATTCAGGGTATTCCACATCCTAAACACAAACCAGGAAGATTCAAAAATTACCCTGAAACACTTCATGGAACAGCCTGACAAAAACCCTTCTCAAAACACAGGCTAGGATCACACAAATATAGTCTTGATTCATTTAAAAATACCTATTCTCAGAAACAATATTTCATAATTGAAGCTGCAGAGAACTGTTTTCTGCAGAATTAACTCTAAGAGTGAGGTATACTCTTATGGTTACCGTAAGCCATAGTTGTTAGATTGACTTTTCTTAGACTATTGTTATTACACTTACAGCCTGCAAACATTAACAACTTTTAAACCGTAGAATCATAGAATAGTTAGGGTTGGAAAGGACCTTAAGATCATCTAGTTCCAACCCCCCTGCCGTGGGCAGAGACACCTCCCACTAAACCATGCCACCCAAGGCTCTGCCCAACCTGACCCTGAACACCGTCAGGGATGGAGCATTCACAACTTCCCTGCGCAACCCATTCCAATGCCTCACCAGCCTAACAGTAAAGAATTTCTTCCTTATATCCAATCTAAACTTCCCCCGTTTAAAATGATATTTTCTTGGGGAAATCACCCATTCCAAGAAGATAAAGCTGCTTTACAGCTGCAAATATACCTTGTTGATCTTGCCACCAGTAAAATCTGCAAATCTTTTCAGTGATACGATGAGAACTTTGGAGGAGCGATGTATCGTGCACCTCTTGGAGGCAGGAACCATGTTTTCGCACCTTAAAAACAAGCACAGACAAATGTTTAACAGCAAATTCTTCCCCCTCCCAAAACTCAAACAAGTTTTCATCTCTCGCACAGGCTTATGAACCCATATGCTGCGCTTCACGTTTGTTAATAGACAGAAGGTAACAGCATGTAAGCGGACAGCTCTACAAAACAAAGGACTTAGAACATTATCCTTTCACACGGAACACTAGGACCTTCAGCCAGCTGATGTTGCCTCCCACCCCAAATCGTTGTCCTTAGCTCCGTGCTTCAGCTCACCCCTACTTAGCAGACATCCCCTTTAACTTCTGGCCAGAAGAATATTTCTGTGTGCAACCTCACACTGACGAAGGCTAATAAACCCCAGCGTAGGCAGCAGTAGGAATAAAAGTCTAATATGAGCTAATGGCCACAATTCTTCTATTTCCAAATATTCACGTGACACATTAAACGCCTTCTCTTGGACTCAGATGGAATTAGTAGGAATCTTACTTGCTACACTTATAGCTGTTTACTCCGTCCAGTTGTTCAGGTTTCACAAACTGTTCTAGAGCCGCAGTGAGAGACGTAACGGTCTGGATGAATAAGAAGGTAGAGCACTAAGTCACCGGAAATGCAGAATTTCAAACACTTCCTGGTAGTTAACGAGAGAACCTTGCTAGCTCATCCTCAAGTGACCTACTGTCAACCGGCAACCACCGTGAAGGAGGCAGAAACCTCAGAGTACGCTGAGCATTTACCTCCTGTGGAAATGATGCTACTTTGAAATAAAAGGATAAAGTTTGCAGTGCCACAGACACCATCTGTACTATGCTACGGCATCAATAATGAGAACAAGCAAACCCATCAGCCTAACGATAGATTTATAGATGCTGAAGCAGAATAACAGAGAAGTGTGAGGGTATAGGTGTTTGTGTAGATGTGATTACTGTTTTTACAGGTTAAACCCACTGCAAACATGGAGAGCATCTAGATGCCTTCCACACAAGACCAAAGCCCAATCCACTCCCACTCAACACCAAGCTCTTTCCTTTTAGCAGTGTATATTTTTAAGTAAAATGCCTTTATCTGGAAAGCTCTACAGGTCCTTATGCAGCTCGAGCCGTATTCACAAAACACCTTACCTCTATATCCAAAGTAATACTGAGGAATGGCTCGTGCCTGTCCGAAACGGCTTTGCAGTTCAAGCATTTTACTGGAATCAGAATACAAATGCTTAACACTGACTGGACAAATTTAGAGTCTTCATACATTTTACTTTAGTCAAAGCACAAAGTCCTTTACTACAGACAAACAGACACAGACCAGTTCAAAGGACAGGAAGAATTGTAACAAGTACCTTGGGATCTTAGGTATCCTCCAAATATTTGATAAATAAGTGTAGTGGCTTGAGAAGATGTGTCCCATCTGGAAAGAAATGATAAATCAGGCCTCAGATGATACAAGGCTCAGAGTTAACTCTTCAAACAGTTTTTACCAAGGACAGTCATTTTAATGTAGTATAGTAAAGAAAGGAGTAAAAGGGGCTAGAGAACATCTAAGGGTTAAATAATTCGTTTATGCGTACGTGGTGCTTCCATTCAAGCAAGCTCTCTGCAAAGCATCAACAGTGAAGGACAAGAATTCATGTGCATCCTCTTGACTGCCGTAACAGAAATGTTCTCCTATACCTAATAAATAAGAAGGTGGTTATATTTATCTCCTAGAAAATGAAAGAAAACTCACGTTTCTAAAAGTATCAAAATCATTTCTATGCATCAGAGAGTGCTTTGAAGTTACCCAATATATCAAAAGAAAACCATCTGAAATGACTTACTTTTAAGGCCATTGATAACAGATATAGGTTTGATAGCATTATTAGAGAAACACAGGGCCTGGTTAACGTGAGCTTCCAATGTACACATCATACAGAAGCCTTTTTCGTGACCTGAAGAGTGAAAGAAGCAACACAGTCTAGTCAAATAAGCATTGCTACCAAAAAAAGAACAAACCCAGAAAACAACAGCCACAAAAAACACTACTGATATTGATGACACAGCGCTAAGAGAGAATGCGTGCGATTTTCAGCATATTGCTGTTAGGTGAGCTACATGACACAGAGCTAAGAATCCTCTGGGAGAAAGGAAAGGTTAAAGGAAGGTATGTATAAGTATTTCTGCCCTCCTTTTTGCAACAGGGTTCTTAACTGGAAGCATTTTTATCTATGTCAAAAAAACCCACAGTTAAATTTCTAGGAATAAACACAAAGATGCCAAACCAAAAAGCATGCATGTACCTTTGTCAAAATAGACCTAAGAAGGATATGAAAAGAGGCTCCTATGCCAAATCAGTTCAAGCATAGAATGGAAAAGGGAAGAACACAAATTCAAAGGCTTAAAAAATACAAACTTTTAACTAGAATAAAACCAGTCTAAATTTTAATACTGCCCCACACAAATTTCCGTTTCAGGTCAGCAGAAATTATCTCGTAGTGCTTTCTAGGGTGTGGGCTTTTTTAATGGGTCAATAGTGAACATGTCATTTATTGCAGTACTAGCACATGACGCTATCTAGGCTGCAGAGACGAAGACGCTACGATGCCAACATCCTACATTTTACCACCTTTCTACCAGCAGGAAACACAAATGCCAAATGTTCGTCAAATGCCTTCCTTTACAACGTATTTCGCTATTCACACAAAGCAAGAAATGCTCTTTATTTGCAACTTTGCCATTGGGCATTAAATGAACAAATGCACTTTATATGCCATTCTGAGCTTCCTGTTAAATAAGCATGGAATCACAGAATCATTTACGTTGAAAAAGACCACGAAGATGGCAGTCAAAGCCAGCTTCGACAGGTAAAACGGGAAAGCCACGCATTTTCTCCACAGAATCACTCTTGTTCTTTCACCTTTGC